TGCGTAGAATTGAGAGAAACAGATGCAAATTCAATTGGATGCCCTTCTTGCATTATTACTGCGCCCAATCCATATTGACTAGCATCTACTGATAAAATTACCGGTAAAGAAGGATCAAAATAGCTCAAAACTGGAGTTGAAGTTATAATATGCTTCAATTCTTGAAAACATTTATCCTCATTACTATCCCAGATCCAAACATTTTTCTCACTTAATAACCTCCTCAAAGGAAAAGTTTTTTCGGATATGTTAGGTAAAAATTTTGCGAGATATGTAATCATGCCGAGAAATTTTTGTAGCTCATTTTTATTCTTTGGTGGAGTCATTTCATGGATAGCTTTGATTTTGTCTGCATCTGCAGTTATACCTTTTTCATTTATAATGTGACCTAAGAACTTCACCTCTCGGATGGCAAATTTGGATTTTTCTTTATTCAATGTTAAACCAGAAGATGAAATTCGTTCTAGAACTTCTCGAAGATTCTTGTTATGTTCTTCTATATTTTTACCAAAAACTAAAATGTCATCAAAATATATGAGAACCCCAGTAACTCCATCGAGAATATTTGTAATTATTCTTTGAAAAACTTCTGGTGCATTACATAGCCCGAAAGGCATTCTCAAATATTTATATCTACCAAATGGAGTAGCAATGGTACATAGTTTTGAACTTTTTTCATCTAGAGGAATCTGTAGAAATGCAGAGGAGGCATCAAGTATTGAGTATATAGTAGACCCATTTAGTCTGGAGAATAAATCGTCAAAATTAGGAATTTGAAAGTATTCCCTCTTTATATATACATTCAAAGCTCTCGGATCCATACAAATCCTCACATCACCATTAGGTTTCGTATTGACGACAATTGGATGAACCCAATTTGTAGGCTCCACAATTTTTTCAATAAGTTTCTGAGATTCCATCTCATTTAGTTTTAGACGAACTTTCTCTCTTAAAGCTTCAGGTATTTTTCTAGCCGCATACATTTTCGGAACAGCATCATCTGATAATATAATTTTACACTCTGTATTAACTTTTCCGATTCCATCAAAAATACTTTTGAAATGAGAAATAATTTCGTCAGTTTCACTAACATTTATTTGATATATCTTATTTTTGATAAGTTTCAAATCTATAGCCCCAGATAAACTTAGAATTGATTGTGAAATATTATTCGAAATAACATGGAATGGAAGTATTTTTTCTATATCATTATATTTACAATTTACAAATATTATTCCATTCGTATTTATCTCATGTCCTGAATATGAAGTTAATGAAGTATTCGTTTTAATTATTTCATCTTTGTAATCAATAGTTTTAAAATCAGTGTAATTGAGAATATTGACTTCACTTCCCGTATCTATTTTCAGTTTTATAACTGAATTATTAATATTAATTCTTTCCACCCATTCGATAGTATTCACATTTCCTCCAAAAACAGACCATACAAAGTTTTGTTCATCATATACTTGATCAGAACTATCAGAAGTCTCGGTGTTATTTTGTAATTCAGAAATTTCATGGACTTTTTTATTTTTATTACAAAATTTGAAATAATGTCCCTTCAAGCCACATTTATTACATATTCTATAAAATGCAGGACATCGGTTTGGGATATGATCAGTTCCACAATTTAAACAACCTATTTTCCTATTATTCGCATATGATGAACTAGGTTTTGTTGAAATATTGTTTGAAATCAAATTGATTCTACCTGAGTTAGTGTTAATGATATTTTGAGTAGTCACACTTGTTTCAAGGCTTCTACAAATACTCACAGCATCTTGTAGTGTGAGATCTGATTTTTGTAATAACACACTCTGTGTTTTTTTATCAAAAATTCCTAGAACAATCCTGTCTCTCAATAAAATGTCTCTATCTTTGAATTCACATGAAGATATCAAAGTTTTGAGATCAATTAAGAAGTCATCGAATGTTTCTGTTGAATTTTGATAACGGCTGAAAAATCTAAAGTGTGAAAGAACAAGGTTCTTCATAGGATTACAATAGTTTTTGAATTTTTTTATAACTATGTCAAAAATGTTATTACTCTCACCTTCGTCATATTCAAACGTATTGAATATTCGCAACCCTTCATCACCAATCAAGTTTAATAAGATTGCTACTTTTACATCATCGGGCTTTTTATCAGACCCACTTGCTTTCATGTAGATTTCCAACCTTTGGTACCATAACTTCCATTTCTCCGAAATATTTTCGTTGAATTCCATTGCAGGAATAGATTTTGCTGAATGTTCCATCTTTCTTTATCTTCGTTCAGAAGCGTAGGACTTTAAAAGCTGCCACCATGTAAAGATATCAAAGATATTCTCAGATAATAATTTGATAGATGAGTAGAATATTGAGTGAAGTTTTATTCTGTAAGTTATTATTTATAAAAGTCATGACAACAACAACTAGTATATACTGAGTATATATCACAGTCCTCACTGTGCACAAGAATGAGCGATTTTTGGGTGCAATAAGTGAAAATCAAATACTGGCAGAGCTTGAATATCTGAAAAACGATCAAAACAATAATTGGACAAATGACTAGCATTCCGTAAATAAACCACAACTGTAGTCACCAGTAGATAACCACTGTCAATATGGTACTGACCCTGAAAGCATCGGTAACCTCGGTTGATTAACGGAATATATCCTATGTAACTGAACAGGACTGCGACTTATAAGATTTATTCTACTAACTTCTGCATCCGAGCCACACAGAAATCTCTTTGACTTGTAGATGTTTCTCTTATATCTCTCTGCGGATTATTGATACATACACTACTCGCTCAAGTATTATGATATGCTCTTGGCTTTGGCTGTGCATCCTCACGAAATTGATGAATACTAAGTGACAATACTATGTTAGGATTTCCGTCAGTATGTTCATAGTTTCTTCTTGCGTAGGTTGATGCAATTGTGTGACCTCCTCTGATTACAGTTTGCCAGAAATGTTTTCGCTTGATTCATTCTCTTGAATCATCATCTCGGTAATTGAATAGAGAATAGAGCTGATAAGTTGCAGGAAGTTAGATATATGAACTAGAATCTAGTTGTCAGTGCCACCTATACCGAAGATTACTTATAATCAATCAAATCATCATTGTGACAAGTGAAAAGTGTATATTCAAGAAAAGCTTTCAGCTAAATTACCAACAAACGCGCCAAAAATGGGTTTCTGGAAAAATATTTTTATATCGTTTCATTTTTACATTGGAACATATTAAACTACATTTGTCCGAGTTTTTCCATTTTGTATGAGGCTTGAGAGTAACATAAAAGAAAGGAAATACCATCGATATAGCTGCATGTGTAACAAAGACATAAACTTTTTACCAACCATTAGCTGCTAGATACTCGTTGCGTTTCTCTAGTTTATCGTTTGTGGAATCCATTGGTAGGCCTACACCATCTCTTGAGGTGTGATTAGGATTTGGCATTGATTCTAAACATGTATTCTTACAGGATCTCCCTTTATTGACTTCAGATTTCAATAGTGAATTACTTCAACATGGGGTATGGTGCCGTCAAATGTTTCATCAGCCTTCAGCTGATTCAGTTACCCGGATTTTTTCATGATCTAGAGCACAGAAACGACTCGTAATGATGCCATCCAGAGACGAGTCATTCGCCTGGTCATTATTACCTACCACACTCACCGCAGGAATGCCAGCGATCTTTCACTTTTCCATTGGAAATGTTCTCGAGGAATCGCTCATTCCAACAAAGGTTATACTAGTGAGACGTACACGAAAGCCCAGTCAGCACATTTTTTCTATTTCATACTCGAGATATGTCGATCAACTCGTTTGTGTATAGATCGTCAGATCGTTGGAATTCTTTGGGGTAGGAAGTATTCCTTATAACCCCAGAAGTCGGTGGCAATTAATGGCCTAGTAACACAGAATACTATTGGGACATCATAAATGGACTGAAAGTATTTGAACTCATTCAACGTCGGAGATCGCAATATACCGAATGCAATAATAATACCTAGTTGATCTTAATATCTGCCTCTTTAACTCTGACTACATCACTGTGTCTTATCATGCGCAAATTTCGACACCTCCGAGAAACGCAACAATGCAGGAACAAATTTCGATTCATTGATTGAGGAAATTATGCCATGTCTAGAAAATTTTAACGTAGATTTCTGAATTCCTAGATTGAACAAATTTATGAAAAATCGTCCTAATCCAGAGATTCATTCCACCGCAGAATACTTCTGCATTACGATATATATTCCTTCACTGGAGTGTATCATTCCTGATATTGAGAGCCGATTCAAACAAGAAACCATTGAGTTATTCAATGTGGAAATATGTATTCCTGCTTCATTAATCCATTCAAATGAATATGCGATGCATTCTGCCTTTGAAATTTTGAATGCCATATATGGATCTTTGTTTAAGACATCTAATGGAGACGTGTTGAAGTCAAATTTTATTGCTGAACTACATCTTTGGAAAATAAAATGAAAAAAAAGTGAAGAAATGGAAATTCCAAGTGATAGACTGAATTCTTTCAAACAATGCGATGTAACGTTGTTTCCAATCATATGTGTATTTTTGAAAATACTGTGTACTCTTCCAGTGAGAGTAGCATCTGCAGAGGGGAGTTTTTCAGGACTGAGAAGACTCAAGAGTTGGCTGAGGTCCAATAAGGGCGAAGAACGACTAAGTGGCCTCGCACTAATGCATGTCCACAAGGACATTGTTGTAAAATTGGAGAGAGGCAAAACATAGAGTTCGTTATGTAGAATGTCAGTATTTTGTTCATCAACTGATTCCAATAACTGAAATTATATAAATAAATATTCCATACTGCGTTTTGTATATGTGTGAGTAGGTAATTTCACAAATTGCCCCCCCTACCAAAATCAAGATACATGACCGCCCTTGGAATTATCCAACCGCGAGCATCCCGCATATCGAACACAGCTGATTTTATACAGTGCCTCTTCGTTCCAGATGAGTGAGGAACCGCCCGACCCAACTCCTGCCCCAGCAGCCAGCGCCTACTGACCTTCGGGCGGTGCGTACGATGAACCGGGACGAAATGCAGCTGCGCGACAGGCTGCTGCTGCTCACAGACCGCCCGCCCAGCCAGCACAAGCCGTTCATGAACGTGAAGCGGAAGCCTGTGCTGGCCAAGCAGGCCTCCAAGGGCAGCGGGCCCAAGTTGAGCATGCAGGACTTCGTCCGGATGGACCCTGGGTGAGTACCTATACGATCGAATATATCGTCACGAATGTGACTTATTAATCATTCTTCGGCCGAGGGCCCACCATGTACCCACGGTGTCGGGGTGGGGGTAGCCTCAGGTGATTCCAGACACCACTCCAACCAATTCTCAAAAAAAAAGGAACAAGAACCTGCCCAACAACTACAGGCCCATTGCCCTGTTATCAGTAATCTCCAAAGTGATGGAGAAAGCCATCAATATTGAGCTTATCAAATATCTGGAGAGCTCAGGAATCATCAATGATAAACAATACGGCTTTCGCCACCGAAGATCTACTGGAGATCTTCTTGCCTAGGTCACCCGTTTATGGTACGCTTCATTAGAAAAACACGGGGAATCTCTAGCTGTCGCGTTGGACATATCGAAAGCATTCGACCGTGTTTGGCACGAAGGACTCCTCCACAAACTACCATCATACGGCTTACCACCTCAGCTATGCCATCTCTTATCGAGTTTTCTTTCAGGCAGATCGCTTCACGTAGTGGTGGACGGTGTATCGTCTGATACCTTTGGCATCAATTCCGCCGTTCCACAAGGATCAATTTTGGCACCAACATTATTCCTGCTTCATATCAATGATCTGTTGGGAGTAACAACTTGCCCCATCCACAGCTTTGCAGATGATAGTACCCTCCATACTGCGTTCTCTTCCAGAATTCCCATTTCTTCCCAGGAAACTAAGAACTCACGGCGCAGGCAGGTCAATGCTGTCAATGAAGATCTTGCTGAAATCAGAGCCTGGGGAACAAACAACCTAGTTGAACTCGACGCCACCAAAACTCAAGCCTGTATTTTCTCTAGAAAGGCGGAACTCAGTATGCCCGATATTGTGATGTCTGGCACCACCATCCCCACCAAGCCCACCATATCTATGCTCGGTATTTCCATGAGCAACACTCTTTCATGGGATAATTATGTCAGATCCATCGCAAAAGCTGCTTCACAAAAACTCGGATTCTAGTTCCGTGCGAAAAGATACTTTACACCTCAACAGCTTCTCATGATCTGCAAAGCGCAGATACGGCCAGTTCTAGAATGATGTTAATATTCTTCGATTAGAGCTTCTGTACTTTCCTTTTTTGTTCGAGGAAATTATTGTAGGCTTCGCCTTTTTATGCCATTATGCGCTACCCTGGCACCTTTGAATTCGATATATTCAAATGGATTTGTCTCACGTTTATCTTCATTGAAGTAACCTTCCTGTATATAGTTTTCCATATCAATTGCAACTGTGTATTCCTAATATTCCTCACCATTCTCCTCACCCAATCTTTTAGGATTTGGGCAATCACGAGAGATGGTGTAGTCGCACAAAAGTCATAGTTTTTCTGCTGGCATACTCTTTACTCTCCTTGTTATTTTCTGATATCGATTCGCTTAAATAATTACGAATTTCCGTATTGGAAGTTGACCCAAAACGAGACATTTCAATTTTTGAGTTACTGCGGTAGGTATGTCAAAGTTTGACAACCATACCACTCTTAATCTGGCGAACAGAATAGCCGCTCATATTGTTTGCTTACCTAAATAGCCGCTGATATCGCATATCATGTGACTTCAATCATGACATCCCATAGGCCTAGGCGCGTGTGAAAGAAATAATCCGCTATATCTATCCATTCTCTCTGCTGGGGGGTTATGCCTTACCCCTGGATCAATACTACAGCAGTCTATTACAATGTTTTGTTTCGAATCAATTATTTTGTATTATATATGAGATCCAGTCAAAGTCCCAACATTTGGTCCGAAAGCCCTGAATAATGCTGAGGCCTGTTTTTTTTTTAAAACGACCAAGACCCACTTCCACCTTGCAATTTCACACAATATTTTAGATGATGAATTCTAATAGAAGATAGAAGACACTGGATGAGTCTGATGAGAAATCAAGTCTCGCTACTCATGGCGGCAATAATTAAAGTATATCAGAATGGATCAATTGTATTCCAAAATCTTCAATTATACTTTCGACATTGAAAATCTTTCTTTTATTTACACTATTTACCATTTCGATTGAAACAATGTTTTACAAATCTGGCCTCACTCTGGACATCCGCTAAGTGATTTCAGAATTTCGTTTGCAATAGTTCCTGAGAAACGTGTGAGGGAAGTTTACCGTGAATAACCCTGTATAAGCAGCGTATAACCTAATATGTGGGTCCCTTTGTTCTAATTCATCTCTGGATGGAACGGGTCAACAATTGATTGGAAGATAGGATCAGTTCGAGCCATTGCTTCAGTTAGGAGGGTATATCATAGCAAATTGTTCTAGCATGATGTTCGCCATGTCACATATAACATACCGGATGCTCTCGAAAGTTGTACATTATTATAGATGTTGACTCTTATCACTTTTCCTCAAAATGACAACAATACCATTTTCGTAATATGCAAGCTACAAATATCATTATTTGTAGCTTGCAATATAGTGTAAAATGATCATATTCCTCTGGAAGAAAAATATGAGCATTATTATTTATTATTCTGATATGTTTCTAATGAGGATGAATAGGATGATTCATTCACGTTTACGTCCAACATTTCATTTTCACAATCCTGGAGAAGTAATCGCTCACCAATAGCAAGAGGCCAATAGTCAATGATAGAACGAACATTCCCACACAGTGATTTTTGCTTCCGTTTAAAGTATAATAGTGGAAATGTTTCTTCAATTTGGTATTCTTTTGTTTTTTTGTCGAGTTTTTTCCTTATGAAGGTGGTTGAAATCCTGTATAGACACCACGAAGGACCAACTCCCTTCGTGGTAGTGTGGGAAATCGACTGAACACTTCATCTCCTTCCAAGGCTCGTTGGCCCATTGTATCTTACCTAGACTATGCCGTTATTGATTTTACCACATTCGACTTACATAGTTCTCATACAGGGTATTCCATAATTAGCGTGCAATACTTCACCAGCAGATTCAACGATCATGAATAAAAAGAAAAGTTTCAGTAAACGAAGGTCGAATAATGTTTCATGAGTGAGCTACACCCCTAAAGGTGGTATGCTGAAGATGGTTTTCATTTTATATCTTCGAAACTGCTGATAGCAAAATTAAAAAATTTCGCAAGCCGACCAAATCTTTTCAGGTCTGATGATAAGCGATAATAATAAGTTCATCCATGAATGGGTCAAAATGGAGGGGGGGCTTTGGGATTAAATCACCCAAACTTCAAGTGCCAAAAGACCTTGTTTCGTAACTCTATCTTTTGGCATTTAAAGTGTTCTGCATTGAATTGAGTGTACGAAATTTCGGCACTAGCTCTTTAAAATTCAGTCAATTTTTCGTAGTTGAGAATGTCATTATCTGCTTTCTCCTTATGAATCATAGTTTCACGTACTCGTTACTAGTCCATGCAAGTGAAGGAGCTCCATCCAAAGTTCATACCGTCATCAGTATATTGCGAGTCACATGGACTTCGATGGTCAATTATTGATTCAACCCCATACAAGAACTTCTCCACCGAATATCAACTGTTTCCCACCATAGGTGTAGAAACTAGAAAACCGTCGCAAATGCCACCACCAGGTTTAAAGGTGTCCAAATTACTGAAAGTGGTAACTTGAATCTCAAGAGAAACCTTGAATCTCAAGACTGAAATTTTATTATTTTTATAATATTATTTTTCATGAGAATGTTCGAAATATTTTTTTAATTTTGACATGAAAGCACTTGACACTTTTCACTATGATTCCGTGAACGCCCTCCGCAAGTCTCGAATTTATAGCGCTGTTCATAACCATCTTCATGTACTTACTGGCCAATACCAGTTAGACGAACTGGACAAGCCCAGTCAGCACATCAATTCGTTGTCAACCTTGGAATAGAACAGCAAAACTGTGGAATGCATTGCCTGAGGAAGTAGTTCCAAGACTTCATTATCTCCAAAAGTTAAAAAAAAATCCAATGCCGACCTCCTCTCCCTATCCTCCCTAGGTAAGCTTGATTTTCCTCGAAGGTTACATCGTAGACAAAAACTATTTGTGTTTTTTTTTTCGTTTGGTCGGTACTGGTGAACTCCTAGGGCTTTCAGATGACAGGGACAAATTCCTCGGACTACTGCATAATGGACTACCGGATAACGATATTCCGTTGGCGATCTCTCAGCCAGGATTGCCAACAGAATATTTTCATCCTCATCAGATTCTTAATTTTCATCTCCTATTATTTCAATTTTCTGGTTCATCATCTGTATCGTCTTCGTGAATTTCATCACTTTCGTCTTCTGCTTCTTCTTCTTTATCAGGCAGTGCAATTTTCCTTAAAAATTTGTTGGAGGTATGCCATCATCATGTTTCATAAGACTAGAGAAGGAATTATGATTATTCCATAAAATTTTGGCATGAAACCCTAGTGGTGACAAATGCGTATACCAATTTCGAGGAACTATGACGATGCCTATTTGTAAAGGTATTCCGAATTTTTTCCATCTAGAATATAAGGTACTCTCTCAGATCACAAACCACCCAAGAAGGAATAGAGTTCTACCATTGTTTACTTTGTGTAGTCGTCAAATACATTGTTGAAGTTATCAGCAGGGCAGTGAGGAGGGGTTAAAAAGATTAATTTTCTTTTTATATCTTCCTGAGGTTTACTATACCATGATGGCAATCCACCATTGAGCTCAATGACAATCAATATGCTACTATTTAAGAACGTCAATAGATAAGAATATTATTTTTCAGGTACACTCCTGACATCGAGCACCTTGTCTTCCCGGCAACGAGAAAACGAAACCCCCAGCAGGTGGCGCCAGTGGCGACAGCTGCAACGAAGCCTTCCGCGGCTGCCAGAACTCGATCGCGATTGGCTGAAATGTTCGCTTTGAGTAGGCATTTGCAGCAGAGGTCAGCAGATCGCGAGATCAAGGGGAGACTTCTTACTGCCAATGTGAGTATGGACAACAGAGTCAATAGCTATTTCTTTAAGAAGGATGGAAAATGCTACTATTCCTCCCGAGGATGAATTTAACTGCTCGACGCGTCATTCAAGGGAGAAAAAGGCACTTTACTCCTATTTTATACATATAATTTTACGCTGGCAGGAGTAGCAGTCAGTATCTCTGGTAACAAAAGAGGGGCAGAAGTCTGGTATCATTTCCTAGGCAGATCATGTGACATATTTTCTCCCTAGGGAGTTTATATCAACTTTACATTTTCCACATAGCTCTGCGTTTTCTCTTCGGAACACCCTTCTCTGAAGCGAGTATAAGCTGCATCATACATATTTCTACACCTTTTCCAATAGTAATTCAGAAAGTAAAAGATGTTATTCAGAAAGTGTAAGTTGTGATTCAGAATAGTCAATTGTAACTCAGAAAGTATAACTTGAAATTGAGATTAATTAAGTGTACTTCAGAAAGCGTAATATGTAATTCAGATTAGTGAAATGTAATTCAGAAAGTGTAAGTTGTAATTCAGAAAAGTGAAATGTAATTCAGAACCCGTCAATTGTAATTCAGAAAGCATAACTTATGATTCAGAAACTAGTAACAACCGTTTTCATCCATTCTCCTTGAGACTTTAACGTAAATCAAGTTACCAACATTCAAAGCCATGTTGTCATTGAAAGTAACTACGAAATATCAATTAAATGTCGAATAAATTGCAATTGAAAAGAATTTCACAGGTATAGATATTGTTGTTTCATCACATACGAGTGGAATTATGAATTTCAATAATTGTGGAATTTGCTCTGGTTCAAGATATGCCCGTTGGTCGATGAATATAAAATATTGATGTTCATCAAGCAATAAACCATTCGTTGATTTCTATTCCCTACCCTTATTTAAGTCTATAGTATTTATGAATTACAAGTGATGCATTCTGAATTACAAATTACGCTTTATGAATTACAAATTACGCTTTATGAATTACAATTGACTATTCTGAATCACAAGAGTCGCTCTCGGAATTACATTTCACTAATCTGAATTACATATTATGCATTCTGAATTACAATTGACTAATCTGAAAGATGTGGATTGTACGGTGAACTGTAACCTCTAGGGGTGAGCCACAATAGACCCATCTGGGGTCGCAGTGGAGGGGAGGTGTTCGCCCCACTCACATGGAACCTAACCTAACCTAATCTGGATTACAATTGACTAATCTGAATTACAATTGACGCTTTCTGAATTACAATTAACTATTCTGAATTACAAGTTATACTTTCTGAATTACAATTGAAAAAAGGTTAGATCTCACTGGTAGCATCTGGTAGCAAGTTAAGAATCACTGCAGAAGCAGTATCAATATTTTCTTGGGGTTTTTCCACGATTTCTTGTTCCATAACCGTTGACCAATTTCAAAGCTGTTTCCCTGAATTTCAGTTTGATATTTGCTGTCACCATGGGTTGTCAACAAGATACATGTTGTCAAGATAAGGATTCCACGTACTATACCAGTACTGATTATGGCAAAACACTGATCATATTTTTATTCTTTCCCAATTTTTTTGTTTTTGAGTGCGTAAAAAATAGTATATACACCTCAGGACAAAATGCTATTTTTCCCTCGGTGCTTTGTATCTCTCGCGCTTCGCCCTCGAGCTAAAAATCGCACATCAATTAACAACCCACTGGGCAAAAAATCATGCCAGTTTCATCACATTCTTTTAACCTTCATCACATGTTACGTTATGATATAGGTCACTATGAAGTGTCCAGTTCTTCTCAGTAACGTTGAATGTTCTTCAACATAGCAAAAGCCTTTTTACGTTACACAATGTTCATCGTATCAAGGTTACCTTTATGTTCCAATTAACATAACGATAACGAAACTATTATTTCAACTGAACAAGCATTTCAACATACCTTCTGTTGACGTTATTGATTCAACACTTTCACTACTGTCATAATGAAACTGTTACCACTATTCTGACGATTTTGTTCCATGTCTCTGTAGTCATATTTGTTACTTATATCTTCACTAGGCGTTTCTGAAATCAACTGTCATTAGCTTCTGAGAAAGTAACTATAAACTACTCATTTTCACCTATAGTGATTGAGTATTTAGTTGGTACTTGGTAGAGGGCAGGGCATCAGTGTCTTATCAAACAAGTGAAACTTCATGACATCCACTGACTTTTTTTATTCATTTATAGGTCTGGATAGTCACCTACTCACTTTTTAATGCATATGGCTCCCTTCTTCAACAGATTTGCTCAGTTAGGTACCCACAATATCATTGAGATTCCTAGAACTCGAGAAAACAAATTCAATTATCATTTCTGCACATTGATTTTCAATTTTTTTGTATCTTCCCGTGTGTTTTTCATAGAAACACAATAGTGGGTAGTTTATTTGAATATCTGTTCAGGCATCTCTCTCTCCGAAAAAATGTTCATTGTTTATTATACAACTACAGAACCTTATTCTGATCAATAACATAAGAGATAACACAGACATGATGAACATTAGAAAAATCACCAAGATCAATAATCATCATTAATATCAGTCCTCATCTCAAAATCACCCATAGCTACATCAAATCAGTTTGAGTCTTGAATAGATCATTATTGAGGTTTGAAACAATTGTCGCGGACGTCATAACTCAAAAGTGGATCGCCCTCTATATAGGTATATTTTTTTCTGATAAGAGTGGCATATTTAACATATACAGTGCTTTTCTTTAATGACGCCCCCTCTCCTTTAATTTTTTGAACGGGTCTAGTGCTCTACTGAAAAAATTGAAACTTAATAATAATAAAATTGATGCATAATTTCATATCTTGGAGTGGAATTGACAGATGAAAATTCCAAGATGGCGACTGGGCGCCATCTGGGGAAAAAATTGAATAGAAAGGAGGCTCTTGTGAAACATCTTTTTGAAACTCCTGGCGAATACTTCACAACCCTAGAATATAATGTCAATATCTCCATCTTCTCGAAAATAGAGGAACATTCATGTTTTAGCTGCTTCAGATTCAGATCTAGAGAGTATCTAATCTGCTCACAACCATAAAGATATTTTCTACTACTGAAAATGATGAAAAAATACTATGTGAGCGGATATCTCGAAAAAAGTTCATTTCAGCTGAATTGCGAAAAAACTATTTTTATTTCTCAACACCTTGTATCGCGAGAACTGAACACTTAAAGACCGTATGTCCGTAGCTCCGTGATTATGAAATCATAAGGGCTATCACCTGTATATCATACACCAAGTAGATTTTCGGATATTAGAGAATTGCGCATGCGCATTTTTCAATTCTTCACGATTGCGTTGGTAGTAGGCGTACGGGTGTATACTCAAAAAATGATGATTTGTTTTTTATCGCTTGGAGCGCACGAAAGGGAATCCCTATAATGTTCAAAGAACATCGTGCGTTCCTAGGGAGGATAGGGACAGGAGGTAGGTATTGGAATTTTTTTTGAACTTTTGGAGATTATATGTTGTTGGGAATACTTCCACAGGCAATGAATTCCAGAGCCTAGCCGTTCTATGGATGAAGGAGTGTTGATAAAGTGCTATTCGACATCTTTCGAGGTTGACAACGAAAGGATGTGCTGACTGGGCTTGTCTAGTTCGTCTGATTGGTATTGCTAGTGAAGGGATGATAGCAGAGATTTCCGAAGAACATTTCCCGTGGAAGTATCGATAGAAAAGTGAAAGGTCACCGACCTTTCTACGGTGTTCCAATGATGTCAAAGAGTGAGTGAGTGTGGCGTCACCCACCAGGCGAATGGCTCTTCTCTGGATGGGATCTAAGAGCTTCAGCGTATGTTTTGGTGCTGAACCCCATATGTGGGAACAGTATTCTAGAACAGGCCGTATCTGCGCTTTGTAGATCATGAGAAGCTGTTGAGGTGTAAAGTAGCTTTTCGCACGGAACAAGAATCCGAGAGTTTTTGTGAAGCAGCTTTTGCGATGGATCTGACATGATTATCCCATGAAAGAGTGTTGCTGATGGAAATACCGAGCATAGATATGGTGGGCTTGGTGGGGATGGAGGAGCCAGACATTACAATATCGGGCATACTGAGTTCCGCCTTTCTAGAGAAAATGCAGGCTTGAGTTTTGGTGGCGTTGAATTCAACTAGGTTGTTTGTTCCCCAGGCTGTGATTTCAGCAAGATCTTCAATGATGAGTCAAAATTATCAAATTCAGGATCCCCAAGGAGTTCTACATCAGGGAGTCCTCTCATTTTAACAGGAATACATGTTCGGATCTAAACACACAAACAAAAATGACCAATACAAAACGAAAACAATAGTTATGAGTTCTACTAGGCAGAAAAGAAGATTTAATGCCGCGCATAGTGTTTCATAGCCTAAGCGTAGCCGAGGCTAGGAAATCAGCCAAGGCATCAAATCTGCTTTTCTGTCGTGTGAAACATATAATGTTTCCTCCAAATTTGTTTCAATTTTCAAATAATCCATCATTTTTTGTTCACCAAAAGTTATTGTCCATTTTGGTGACTGATTTGTTTCAAATCATTACTTGAAACGTTGCATAGCAACAAGCTTTTTCTGCCCAGGCAGTACTTTTTCTGCCTAGGCAGTAAAAGTTCACCTTTTCTGCCTGTCAGGTGTCATCAAAAAGCTACTTTTAATGTCCCTTGGAGAAAAAATGTATCATTACGTTACGATGACAGTGACGACCAAAGTGACGACTTCAACTCAATTTGAAAACAATACGTGATGGTTATTTTTCGTACCTCAAAGTCTACGTGGAGGTCTACGTACAAAGATTACTTCAACTCTCTAGTAACCGCAGGAACGCTTTCACAAACTTGGATCATAATTCATAACCTAATTGAATACACTGACGCATTTATTTCCCTTTTAAGATGCCAGGAACATTCGAATAATTTCATTCCAATCACCTATAGCCCAATCACCTTAGTATCAAATTTGACGAATAGCGGGAATCGAACCCAAAGTTCTGAAAATTGGTGTACATGTTCCCTTTGGCATGACTTTCAACCAAAAAAAAGTCACCACCTGTACCTGTAGAGCTAAC